TCTGTCGGAAATATATAGTATATTACATACTGTGCATCAATGTGACTTATTAGCAGAATGTAGACGAAGTATATAGAATATAAACGTCATTGAACTCAATATTCTTCAAACGAATATGCAGTGAAGACAGGAGACTGTGTCCACTCTCTGCATGATAATGCAATTAAGGCCTTGCTAATTGACGGCTTTAGTGCTAACGAACGACCACTGCTGAACGAACAGAATAATATGTTGTTGAACAACTAAGGTCCTCAATATTATCAGTAGGGGCTGGATAAATCTGAATAAAGTCATTCACCTGCCCACTCGCAATAATTAAGATTTGTAACTCCTTGAATGTGATTGATGGAGTTTTTTCTCCGAAGCTTCATTTCTCTTTCTTATTTTTACAGGTATTCAGACATAACAATTTCAACAGAGTAGGGTTTTTTAGTTAACATTTCTGCATATGTTTACTATATGATACCAACATCCTTTTCTGGCCCTGATTACTAAACTCTCGTTCTCATCAATGTTTGCAGCATGACATGTCTCATCTTTGAACAATGACAAAACTGGCCTCGATATTTATTTACAGTTGTGTTTCAAACGCTATTCTGCTCTTAAATTTGTATTTGCTAATTGATAGCGATTTCGTTTAACTCGACAAGGGTCCTTATTATTTAATTGCTAAAGTAATAATCCCTGTTGTTTTTGTAATTGAGATATTCATGGTTTGGTTGCATCCGGGTTGGGAAGTTTGGGCTGGTCGTACAGCCCGTTTCTTAAAACTGCTTGGGTATATTGTATAGTTCTCAAACTTATGTTATACAAAATAAGTAACACATTTTGTACAGAACTGTTTCGTGCTGATTATATAAGTCCTTGTGAGTCATTAAATTGACAACTAGGTCGTATGGGCTGCTATTAGTGGACTCGAGCATTTCTGGATATCACAGTCAATTCTGTTTGATGTGACGAATGTGCAAAGCTTTTCAAGGCAACTATTCGAAACCTCTTTTTGCATACTACCTTACATACACCTGTGATTCTTTGTGGAGGAGCATAGGCCGCTCACCAGCATTCTCCATCCAACTCTGTCCTAAGCAATCTTTCCCATTTCTTTCCATTTGCTATTCATTCTCTTCATGTCTGCTCCCAAGTATTGACGCAGTATGTTCTTTGGTCTTTTTTTGTTTCAAGTTAGTCCTTGTCTCATGATGTGCTTTGATGATTTTCACAATGCATGTCATATCCAACCTCTTTTCCTGATTTCTTTTTCAGCTGAAGGCTTGTTTGTTCTCTCGCATAATAGGTTGTTGTTGTTGATGGTGAAACGAACTGAATTGGAGAATAAAGGGATGAGAGGGTATTTTTGAACGATAATTGACGTATCAAAGTGCATGCAATCTAAGTTGACTAGTTGCAAGAAATGAGCATTTCAGGTTACGCACAAGTCATCGAGTGCAGATGCTTGACTGATGATTGTCACGTGCTGTTATATCCGGAAAAACTAACAGTGACAGCCTTAAAGTCTAAGACTATCGACATTGTTTGTTTATGAGGTTTACCAACCACCATATATGCAATTTATTTTATTTATCTATCATCCATCAAAAATAATGCCTCCTGTTAAAAATACCCTTACATTATGGTTAGTACCCACCTGTCTACTTGCTGAATACGAAAAAAATCATTGACGAAACGTTAAATAGTGAACGAACCAGTGAGATTTGTGATCACTCAGCTGCAACGTAAGACCAAGCACGTATATTCATCAGTCCAAGTTGCCGTACCTCATTTGCACAACAAGATGAACACTAGATTCATAGAAGTAGTTGATTCAGTGGTGGTAATATACAAAAGAAAGATTGCATATAAGGATATAGTACAGGAAGAAAGAATTAGTTCGTAGAAAGAAAGATTTGAAGTGATTTTAATCTCTTAGTTTAAAGGAAGACAGAGAGTGTATACACCGACGCCATTGTGATCAATTTTGGGCCACGTCACCAAGAGTCTCCAACCATTGGTTACGATATTCACGCGGACCCCAACCAAGTAGTCTGCATCTACCAACATGGCTCAGACCAGAAGTTAGTGACTTCAAGCACTGGTGTAACGTTTTGGTATTGTATTTAATGTTGTGCCTACACCTGCCAGTCCATGAGAAATAACCATTGGGTCGCCAGGAATACGGAGGGTGTGTCTCGTCGGCTCTCCGTTTTGCCGAGATGAGGTCAAGTGAATGACCACATTAGGATCATGTATGTGTGTTTCAGAGACACAGTATACATCAATGGTACGAGATTCTATGGTTTTAGACAAGGAAGCATGCTGACCGATTTGACATAGTGTGAGCACATTGAAGGCTGAAATGTATAGTTCGGAGCGAGGTTTCAGTAGACCTGGGACAGTGTTTTGAGCACTATAATCGTTGGCCATGTTGATACCTGGGGAGGAAGCCAAAAGAGGAAGATTAGTCTTGGAAGTCGACGTAGGAGGAATAAAAGGGACTAAAGAAAGAGGGTGATTATGAATATAGAGGTCTTGAGTACTGTTAGAGATGTGACGGCGGTTATCACTTCCCGGTTGCCCACATCGTGGAAGGGTTCCTCTTGAGGTACTTGAAAAGAAATTGGATTAGAGGTGGTCTTAATGGCCTGAGAGCGTGACCGCAGTGCCCAAGGGACAACTGTCTAAGGTCGGTCACACACGACCTTTTCATGAGTAATTTTCGTGTTACTTCCATATTTGTTGAGACCTTACCGCTGGAGACGGATATCCGTGGGATAAGGCGAGGTGTACATTTTTGGGGTCGACATATTCTAACCCCAGCCCTCCTTGTGAAAGGCAGCATCTCTGTCATGCTGGTTGTCTGAAGGAAACACCTCACTGCTGTCACACCTCTGTACAGTCAGCAGTACGACATCGCCTTCGGACCTTGGATTTGTTGCTTTTAATCTAACCGTTCTGCAACCGACTTGTCTGGCATGGTAGGACCTTGTGGAACGATTGTTCTAGCCAGTATAGCTCGATTGTTTCATCACTGTATGCAAGCCCGACCACCACGTCAAGGTAGCCACAACGGTCGGGGAGATTTGAGATAGCAAGTCTTGGATTCCGGCTCGAAATTAGTGCATGCATATGGCTAAATAGCGTTTTATCATGATAGATGACGTCAGTTTGCGATGAAAACCCTAAATCTAATTCGTGATCCCAACTCGCCACACTAATTTATAACCTTCTATAAACGTTAGAAATCAAGCGAATTTTCTCAAGGTCAACTCAGTCTCGCTTAAATGTCGTCCACAGTCTCACCGCTAAATTTGTTTTTGTCAACTAGCCTTCGACTGGCGATAGGACTATAATATATTGACGACTCTTGAGCGCCGCTATAGTGACCTTGAGTTGTTCACCTACTTACCAGAGGTAAATGAAAAACGTACATCAATGTGAGGAATTAGCATCAGGATTTACTGTTGAATGTTAGAGTTTGGAATTAGATCTATTACTTTCATTAGGAAATGACATAAGTTAAAATGCCGAAATGGTATTTGGCCAAATGAGCGAATGAATTTCGCGCCCAAATACAAGCCCTGACATCTTAAACGTTGGCTCGGCCATAAATTATACTCTCGCTGTTTACTCAACGATGGTGAGTGGATCCACACGAAGTTGAGACAAATTCTTTAGTATTTATCATATTTTAATACACACTCCCTCTTGGTAGATCGTTTTTTTCATTCCAATTCTGTTCTGAAAAACATTTTAAGAACCTTAGGTAGTGACCAACTTATTAGAAATAAATGAATGAGTCACTGGCTCGACATAACTTAGTTTTTTAATCGCCTAATTAAACGTGTTGACCACTGAAAACCTTTTCAAATGTTACTCATATTTCTCTTTTTTCAGCATGGAGCTATGAGCTCGTTTCACCATCTAATGCCTCATAGCCAATATTTATCCTCAACAAGATCCCAGTTTACCAGATGTCAAATTTGTGGAACATCAGTTAAGATCTAATTAATTATAGAACCATATTTAGAGGGCGACAGTCCGACCGACAATTATAAACTATACGACTGTAAATTAACAAGCAATGGCAACAATACTTCTGACACAACTCCAACCCATCACACGATATTGTTGTAGAACTCTATGTGAACAATGAAAGTACCTTTAACAATGCAAGTAAATTTGTCAGTAGCACTGATATTGCAGCAACATAGATAGTTGGAAGTTCAGCGAGACACTATTTCTTCAAAAATACAGTAACTAATACTAAATTCAACCACACACTCGTAAAAATAATTTGGGAATCCACACCTAGTATATTCAACCACATCTCAGTGTTAAGTTAGTAACCATCCAAATTCAACTGTTAACCGTTTAACCAAATAACATAATTAACGAAACTACATTGGTTTGCAAATAGTTCTAAACTCAAACGGTTCTTTACTATATGTAATAATTAACTGACAAATTCTAATTGATTTATGTAATCATTATTCCATCAAATATCGGACACGTCAGCAATTAACCATTTTAACACTGATTAAGTTGATTTGCTGATTTCAGTGTCATTTAGTCTCCAATCTAGGCAAAAACCATGGGAATTATATTAGAACGTCGTTCACCTAAGTTTTTATTTCTTATGTTGATATACAAAACTTCACAGCTGTTGACAACGGCATCAAATACTGAAGTGAATTTACATACTACAGGGACACTTAAAGTTAGAAACTCTTGAACTCTCTATATCTGATCTTTCTTGACTCCGTAGGCGACAACCAATACTCAGTGTGTTGCACGACTGATCGCTGGTTCCGATTCCGTTTCGATTGCAACGATTTCCAAACGTCAAATGTTTGTATAATGTTAATAACCTAATGTTTATGAACATTCTCATTATTTCTTCGAACTACTCATGCATATTTTAGCAGTCCTGAAAAACTTACTGAGTTAATGCACAAAAATATAGTGCTTCCACAATACTGGTATTCAAAAGATCATGCTTCATAAGTAAGAATGCATTAAACGCTGGGACACAATCAGTATCATGATGACTTCTGAATAAACCAACTACTTCTAAATATACATCAGAACAGTGATTACTTAGCAGACATCAATAAACCTTTACATTTTTTACCGGTATATTTGGTATCGGACAGACACTATCATTTTCTTCATATGTTTGGAAGCAATATAAGTAGTTTGCATTGAGGATTTTTCGGGAGAAACTCCCCCATAAATGTAGTAGTCAACAATGTTAGGAAACAAAAATCACTTGTGACTAGAAAGAAAAAACGACACATTGAATAATATTTGGCACTGAAAGTAAACTGATACAAATTGAACACTTTAATACATCCACATTCATCAAAGCATTAATAATATTTATTTTTCACAATCATGTAAAACATCTTGCCACCACAGAAGAAAAATCAGAAATCTTACGTGCTTAACGATTATTGTCAAAGGAAAATATGAACTAAAAGTTTTAAAACAAAAAACATTTCTGCGTAGTTTGTTTGGCATAAAAAATAAGGAGACAGAAGGACAGGACAAAAATTAATATTGCGATTCGTTGTACCGTTTGACGAATTATTATCTGCTACTGTCAGTATCAAATTGATACACAAAAATACTAACGTCATACTGATAAGGTTAGCAAAAATATTTAACTCATTTAACACTTTTAATCAACCAGGAGTAGTATAAAGAAGTACAAAAATCATCTCTGAAAAATGTGTAGATCAACATTCAGAAAAACGAAGGATGTAGTCACGACTTCAGTTTCTAATACCCGCAAATATACACTGCCCGTTTAATCAAAATAGTTCGTTTTTTTAAAGAATTAAAAAGGAATTAGTGATAATCAATTTAAATTTGTTCACTAATAGAATCGCTTCATTTGCCTTTGACGCTTCTTATAGTATTTATAGCCCATATATCCACCACCACTAACAAATCCAAATACGAATAACCAAGAAAATAATGTAAGTACGCGGCTGAATCTCGATGGTGGAGTATCATCGACTCGAGCTAAAAAAAAAAAGGAAAAATTACACGAATATCTACAAAAAGCGATAACTGAATAACACTTATTACCGGGAAGTGTTGCTTCGAGTGCAGAATCCTTAAATTATTCCAACCACCATTCGACTGATGGTAGTATATATATTCAATATACTCTGGTGTTTCGACGTATAAAATTACAGTTTAACTATAAACAAAGTGCCCAATTAAGCCAGCCAAATTTTAATGACTATGACTGGGAATGCTAATTAGGATTAATTCCTAATCTAAAAATAGTAACTCAGTTTAGACCTCAGAGGATCATCAGCGACCAGTTATAATTAGCTGAATTTGTGCGTAAATGAATGTGTATGCAACCCTGATAGATGTTGTTACGTACATAAATGCTAACCAATATGACTGAAATTAAAAACTTAAAGGGGAGGAAGACTGTAATCACACATTTTACTTGAATAATGCAATGAGAAGACAAAAGTCATTAGAATTATGTGATATATTTACATAATACATCATTTATCAACCCCTAGTACTTCAAATCATAAAGATTTAAATGCTTTTAATTCTTTATCTACCAAGAACAACAGTTTAGTACTTCATTATCTCTCCAAAGTTTAATTTCAATAAAAACGATCAAGGATTATAAACAACTCATTTGTACACAGATATAATTCAATTCAGTTGATTAAAAATAATTCTTATCATATTTGACATCAACTAGAAAACCACTAATGAAATTAAAGATGAAGAGGTAGTTATCCAGATTTAGTTTTAAATACGTTACTATAGGGCGTAAGCATCAAAAAGAGGCGATCATGAGAGGCACTCGAAGTGACTGAGAAATTCTGGTCAGAAAGCAACAAATAAGGACGAATGACTTATAATACAAAATGTCCTCAATTTAACGAAGAAAGGATTAAGTCGGATCGTAAATCCGGATTTGGGATTAGGGTATAGACAGATTAGTTGTAAGAACTAATCTTTACCTTAATTATTTGCTGATGTTTCCGTTTCTAAAAGTAAGCTTGCTCGTTTGATAGACAACATTTTGGTTTGATATATCCACTATAAATGGCGCGCCATTTGGATCAATGCAATACTTTTGAATTAATATCAATTGATAATAAAAGCAACATTAATTACACAATTCACTTCAAATCGACTAATTTGACAACACAAATGCTAGCAGCAAATTACGTTAATTTTTGCATACATTTTTCAATATGCGAATGCCGTATTGTGTACAAAAATATTATGTCCATTAAGATACTGCCAATTAAAGACTACTTATTAAATAAAGTCAGTCGGTCAGCGACAAAGTAGGACTTTGTACGTACGTAAGTACATCAGCTCAAGTTGCATACCACATTAGCACATCGATACAACTGTCGATTCAAATCCCGTAATGATAGAGGTAATAAGAGTACAAGCAGCAATTAGAGAGATTAGGATTCGAAGATGTTATTCAAGGAGTATAATACAGTGAAATAAATTTGGAAAGAGAAAAAAAGGAGGGACACGAAGAATTCAGATGATTAGAATTTGGAAGAACATAAAAAGTGGATACACCTGCACCATTACAAGTGATTTTCAGCCATGTCATTCAGGGTATCTAACCATCAGTTGCTATCGTCTCGCGGATCTCAACCAGGTAATCTACACCTACCAACATGGCTCGGTCCACTTGTCAGTGACTTCATGGATTTGTATCATGCTTTGGTCTGGCCGCCCTTAGCTTTCTCCCAACCTACTCCCACACCATAAAACATCGCTCGTCGGGCAGTCGCTGGTTGGGCATACGTAACACGTGTCCCAGCCATCTCAACTGAGGAAGTTTCACTACTTCGTCAATTGATTTGCCATCCTTACCTAGTACCCGTTTCCTAACAACTGCATTATTTACTCGGTGGTCACAGGATACACCAGTGATCGAATACTAGTGAGTGTAAGAAAAAATGTTTCGCGAAAAATTCACTAAACAGGAAAAATGAAACCATAGAATTGTGTTAGATATTTCAAAGTTATACATTAATTTGTAGTCAATCAGATATTCTTGGCCTCATTGGTTTGACCTAACACAAAAATGTTTCGTATGTACTAGTGACGAAACTTAATATTAATAATGTAATCAGAGAAACTAAACGATGCAGCATAAAACGGTGTCTGGTCAATCTCAAAGACAACCTTTGCTTAATATTCTTTACATAGCACATGATCAATATAAATTACAATAACGTATCTCATCATGTATGCATTTGAAAAATAATTCTACATAAATCTGAGCAATTTCAAGTTGTGATTGGAAATCTCTGCAATTTGTACATTACATCGATTTCTGGGGATAAATAATCACTACAAAAGATTATCTGCATGCTATTTACTAAACTGTCAGAATTCCAAAAAGTTCAGAAGTATTAACTTTTAAATTTATGTCGTTGTGAAATAAGATATAATAACAGATCCGGAGATAAGAGGACACAAATAGCAGCTTCTCAAAAACCAACTAAACAAACCAAGCAATTAAGTTTCATTTTTTTCGAAACTGTGTAGGTTAAATCCACTTTTAGAAGTAGGCCCACTTAATACTTTAGTTTAATCCTAAAATTGTTTTGCGTTTCGGCATTGTTAAGATGAGAAGTATTACTAGATAGTAAAGATTTAGATCAAAATATCAATCGATTACTTGCTATTGTAATCGTCTGGAGTAAATTCTTATAAGATTACGGTATTTTATTGGAGCTGAGATCATACTCCTATTCCGAGTTCCAAATACAGAAGGAAAACAATAACGAAAGTCAATAACTGATGGAAATTCGGTTTTCCCGCTTATAGCCCTACAATAATAATGTAAAAAGCGTTGGCAACGAAAATGATATTCAGAAATTGATATTGACACACCTCTTGGTGCAGCCTCCTGATCAGCCGATGGTTCAATTTTAGAAAAGTCAGCGAACGGATCGTCCTGTAAAAGAAACAAATATCAAGGCTAGTAGTAAGGACAAGTACATGTTCACAGTAAACAATTGAAAAGTTATTTAATAACAGGTCGATGACAGCGATTTAGTCAAATAAGATCTTGCTACTCCAATTACTTTACAATCAAAAATCAACAAATAAGTGATTACTGCGAAAATTAGAACAGTTTTTTTTGCCATGGAAGGTAATTTCTAATGGAAGCACTACCGAAAGTTCCACTGGTTCTAAGAATAAGAATATCATATAAAAATGATCAATAGCAAAGGCGCTGAATGCTCCCGTCAAACACACCTGTTAAGCGTGAGAGAGCTCTATCACTTGCAAATACTGTAATTCTACATATTGATGACTTTTTAGCGAGAAATTACGACATTTATGAGACCATTAACACAACAACTAGAAATTACTTACTCTAAAGATAAAGTAACAAAGTGAGAAATCTTGACAAATTACCAAACTAAAACTACAATAACACAGGCCTATTTATTCGATTTGAAGAAAAATATTTCGGCAGAAAAGTCCCATACTATGGTATCCCAAATGAGACCAATCAATGACAAATACAACTTACAAATAAAACCAAATTCCATAAAATCACTTTGTCTATTTCTATGAACTAAAAATCCCCATGATGTAAATTAAAACGACAAATCTGAGCGAAAAATGTTGTTTTATACAAAATTTACTCTATATACAGTGACATATTTTCATATGAAAACGATTAAACCAGTTAAGGCACTTTATGGGTCAATTATATTAATGGAACAGATTACATGGCTAATAATATTCAGTAAAATGTATAAATTTGTAGTAAGATGACATGTGTACTAATCGTGACGAGAATAATAACAGCGTAAATAAATGACTCAAATAGGAAATAGGTCAGAATAAACAAGAATCAATGGAAAGTTGGATGCGCAACATCACAAATTGGTTGGAGTTAGATAAATAAAACATTGGATGCTGGCTCATTGGTTCAAATTTTGATTACTTGCCGCAAGATTTAAATTTTTTAGTTTGATCCCTATGTGATCGTAGATGTACTATAATGAGGAGTTCATACTAAGTCAGAATAGCTGTCCAGTGGTTTCTGGTTCTCAGTGATTGTCTAACCAAGACTAGTTCCTGATATGTTTTTACTCATATAACCCACTGTCCCCAACCATTGGTTACGATAATCACATGAACCCAAATCAGGTAAACTAAACCTACCAACACGGTTTGACTGAACTCTCAGTAACTTCATGGACTGATACATACGTTTTGTTTCGGCTTTCGTTTACGCTTTTCTCAAACCCAATCCCACATCAGCCAACATCGCGCATCGAAATATATGGTGGTTGAGGATATCTAACACGTGCACTAAATAGTTCAATTGATGAAGATTCACTGCTTCATCAACCGATTCGTCAATATTACCGTATGCCATGAGTGAAACCTCAGCGCTACTCACTCAGTGGTCTCAAAATATACGTAGAATCATTTGAAAATGTCTAATAGGATACCAACAACCTTTAAATGTCCTCCATTTTCAACAGTTAGATTTCACAACCATAAAATAGGACTTGGTGAACTGCTACAACGTAATTTCGTCCCTTTTTGTGAAACAGATACCTCGCCTAAACTACAGGTAATACAGGTTGACAAAAGTCAGTCGAGCTCTTCGGATCGTGAAGAAATTTCATTAGACACCCACCCAATAAGACCGATGAGGCCTTTAAGATAAACGAAGAGGGTAACTCTTTCAACTACTTCACCTCTTATCATCTGTAAGGGGGTCGACCCGGATTAGTCCTAAAGCAACATTTAACACATAATAATCATTAAAAACTATCAGTAAGTAAAAAAAAAACAATCAGAACAATTATATGGATAGTGAAGTAGAGATACGTAAAGGGTGAATAATAAAAACCAAACAAACGGTATGAAAAAGTGGTAACATCGTCCGCCAAATTTTATGGAGCTAAGAAAGAGGTAAGTGTTACGAATGTCTCCTGAACACAGACTAGAGCTATGAGCTCGGAACCCTTTAACTTTTGATGTGTAAGAGACAAGATTAAACTCTGTTGTGAAATTTCGAAAACATAGATTATATCACTTGGAATGACTTATTTTTATCTACCACATGGCTACTATCAACCAAGTATGATGAAATGGAGCTACAAATTTTCCGTTTCACCCCTTATCAACCACACAAAAAAACATTTATTCATTCCTTGATTGAGTTGCGTGTTGTTAAGTGTTCTTCACAGGAGCAGCTGATATATTCACATCGTGTATTTGTGAGGACGAGTGTGACAATAATTATAATATCTATTCTGACCTACTTCATATGTTGAATCATTTATTTACGATGTTATTATTCTTATCACGATTAGCACGCATGTCATCTTACTACAGATTTGTCTATTTTACTAACTATTATGATTATTATTAGTCACGTAATCCATTCCATTATTATCATGGATCTGTAAATTGCTTTAATTAGTTTACTATTTTTCATGTGCGAATAAACATTACGTCATATAGGAGTGAGGTCTGCAGATATTACTGAGGACAAAATTATTCGTTTACATGTGTTTATATATATATATATATATATATATATATATATAATTGTACCACGCACTTTTGTTACGCGTAACACAAGTTCTCTTAGATACGGAGAACTAATAAGCAGAAAGACAGAGTAAATTTCCAGTTTATTGACCATTATTCCATTTGATAAATGTAAGTATATAAAATGAAAACAAAGTTCAACTACTATATTTTGTACCATGTACAAGAGGTTGATTATTATCAAAAGTGTAATTCATAAATTTACGTGAAACAATATGAGAACGTACAAGACTACACAAATTTAAACATATTAACACAAAACCTGCTGTTAAACACAGTACGATATGAACCACTCTCACAAAATAAATTTTGTCAAGTACAAAAGCAACAAAAATTGTGCGATGCAGAAAGATAATTTGAAAACAGAATTTCTCATGCATAGACTAATATTGTTTTGATGAAATATAGTTTTGCAAGTGAAATTTACGGAAAGGTGTTTGTGTTTATTTTAATCTTGGAATGAGTTTTTGATACATTATACTCGCAAATTATATTTTTAAGGCAATGAAGTGATCATCTTACTTCACTGTATAAAACACATTGATTTTAACTTGAAAAAGTAATAATTATACAAAACTTAACGTTTAAAATTGATACATCAATAGACAGTTTAACAACAGATTTCAATCTCATCCTTTACATTTGTGTTGTTGTATATTGCATTTGAAGAGTTTACTTTATATCATTATTTGTAATCAATACTTGAAAAATGATGCAATAAACGTTATGTAATTGAATACCAACTAGGTTTAAATGAGTTACATTAGAAATATAAAAAATTTTTCAGAAACATTATAATCCAGTCAGAGATAACCAATGTAGTCAAGGGCAAACGTACTTTAGCCTAGGTCTTTATTTGTCATTACTACATAGGAGAAATTAACAAGATGAGTGGCGAAAGAGTCCTGATAACAGTAACATCAATAAGAAAGACTAAATGTTGATGGATATAGTTCAAAAGAAAACAAGTGGGAAAGTATATACAAAGGAAAACTGAAACTTTAGATCAAACGGAGGATGAAGAGTGAAGAAACTTATGGCACTGAGACCGATTGTCAGTCATGTTATCCAAAATCTTCGTCCACTGATCGGATTCAATGAACAGACACAAAGCAGATAGTATTCGGCAACACTTAACATGACTTAGTTTAACAATCAATGGGTTTATGGACTGGCGCGACGTCTTGATTTAGTCACAGTTTCTTTGCAACCTACTCCTATACTGTCCAGCATTATGCATCGAGGTAGGCGATTGTTGGGCATACGTCACACATATTCTGGCCATCTAATTCAATGAAGATTCACACCCTTATCAACTGGTTTGCCATGCTTTCTTAATACTCAACATTTAACCCAGTCGTTGCTCACTCTGTTGTTTCCCTATACATGATGAATGTTTTATGTAGGAACTATATGAAATAAAATGGGCAATGCTTCCTATACGAGAACAAGAGCGTCGTGAGGTGAAAATAAACGTTAAATGCATTGATTCAAAATGTTTCCATCACAAATCTGTAAAAATATTTGATAAATTTTGATTTTAAGTTGGTTTTAGCTCATCCGTTATACGTGAACTTCACGATATTATGAATAGATGTATTGAGTACGATTCTATAACAAGGAAATTTCAAAAGATGGAATTTTGGGTTTTTCACTTGTTGAACAGAAACTAATGTACATGAGGTACTCATCTGCTTGGTTAAGGACAATTAAGCAATTGAGTGGATAGTATAGTATTCGGGTTTTGCCAGGAAAGTTAAGTCAATACAGTACAGGTATGTCCAGAGTAGTTTCAAATGGAATGAAATGAATTGTTGACCTTGACTATTCTCAACATCAAAAAACACGAAAAACGGTCTTTGTGGAATTGACTAGAGCTTATCCAAGTTGTTTTCAGAAATCATTAGAAAGTACAGTCCTTAACAAGTTATCACTGATACAAATACAAAATTATTAATAATAGCTCATGATAAATAAATTAAACATAAAACTAAACCATAAGTTCCTCCTTAAATAAACACCATTTAATATCTACTACCGACTTAACCCAATCAAGTTCTTATAAGTTAACTTTCAACAAAGGAAAACAAGTAGTGGTTCTGGTACATAGAATACGCTATGAGAAAACTTGATTCGTTTAAATTAGAATAAAAAAGCTCTTTGCAGGTAACTAGGTGTTAAAAGGTATCTTAATACAGGTTCCCAAAGGCAATATCTATTTTGGACAGTGAAATGTAGAATATTTCGGTAGTTCTTTTTTACTGGGTGATATTTTATTATTGAAGAACAAATAACGAAATCGGGTGATACATAGGGTATCTCGATTTCAAACAACTATCGGAACAGTATCACCTACAGATTATGCACGCACAAATATATATGTATCAGTTTATTTATCATTTATTTTAACACATAGATATCGGTACAAGGCACCAAATACATATGCGCCACACATATCTCATTTGATATGTGTGAGGGCTGTGATACTGCCCGGGTGCCCAAACCGAATCAGGTGGTTTTGTTAGGGGGCCACACCCCGAGCCTTTGACCTGAACGTCTGATCCACAAGGCAGTGGAGCATCGTGAGGAGATGCAGTCCCATGGTAGCCGGTGACCAACGATTGGTTCATACGCCATTTGTTCCCGCAGGATACTGGAGCCCATGTGCACCACTGGTTTGGGATCCGGTTAAAGCGCCGGACATTCGCTTTTCGTCCTCTCATTTTCGTAAACAACACCCCCGCCACGTGAAGGCGGTGAGTAGGACTTCCCTGGCAGAGGCTGTATACGCGTGGCCATATGAGGGCATTTCGAGAGGGGGAGCGGACTCTCCCCACTCTCGGCCATACCAGGGCATTTGGGGGCATATGTATCAGTGAACGTTTCTGTATCATATATCATGGTTTCTCAATTTAAAATACAATGCTAAGCTCCTCAAGGATAACACACAAAAGCTTACAACCTCAAATAACAGTAATGAGGCTAGATTCAAGTTGGTCGGACGAAAAACAAGTCTTGAATGATATTACTATCAGCCATAGTCAAAATGATATCGAGATGCAACCAATTATAATCATCACATATTCATCCGAAAACATGGATGTTAAAAAGTCTATGATTGAAAATGAACAGAAAATCATACAAGATATGTGGTACTTAGTTTCATTAATACATATATGCACAGTAAACTTACTTTTCGACCAACATCCAGTTCATAGGTATGAATAGAGTATATGTCGTGATTATCTGAGTAGGCAAAAAGTAGGATAAACGCAGAATATTAGATACACAATAAACATGGTTATCAGAATTGAAAAAATGCAGGTCGTTTCAGATAAACAACGTCATACTTACGTGACACTGTCAATGTAACGAAAAGCAAAAATCACAAAACAAGCACACATAAAACACCGCGGAATGAATATAATGTTAACTTTGAAAACAAAACTGACTCTATCAACCAATCGAACTTGCTCTGTGTAGCTTACTTATTTGTAAATCTACTATAGATAATTACAGAGACTAACAGTAACAGTAAATAAGTTTGACTAAATCTAATTGCGTAGGGGAAGGTTAACTTGATAACAAACTAATGTTCCGAAATCAAAACAACTAAATGAGTTGAAAATAATTTACTTAGAAGCATATGTGAATACATTTTGGTATAGTGTAGCAAAGATCTAAATCAAGTCAAGAGATTGAACCATGTGTACACACCATAGGTAAAGTATCATAGAACAATGATAGTAGTAAAAGACTAGAAATAAGTAGTTCTGTAATAAACAAACGCAAATGCGAATAAAATAAGTAAGGGTCAGTTAATTAAACTATTGTGTTATGTCTTGTGAATGTTTTCCAAAATCCTCGTCGCCAGTTGTTATGACTTGTGAATCGAATGCTACTTTGTATCTGGTCGTCGCTGATTTTTATGTCGGAATCGCTGACCACTTATGCTCGGAACGAAGGGACCTCCACAATTCCCACGACGCGAAATTAAGAACACAAGACTAATATAAGCGAAGTTTTATTAGCCCCAAAACACTATGATGACGACGACCTTAGTCGAAAATACACTCATTTATATATTGATTATACAACCATTTTGATTAATAATTAGAATGAAATCACATACATGAAAAATACTCAGTTATCACAAATCACATATAGAGCATAGTTCATGTCAATTAAATACAAGAATATCGTATATTATACAGAATAAAATATCATACGAGAAAAGAAAATAAATACTACATTGAGTAATAATTACATTAAATCAAAACAGAAGTAATGTTGAATAAAACTCATAATGAGTAAATCAATCGAATATTGACTTTCTTTCCATCACATCACATTGGTTATCGAGCTAAGAGCTAAGAAAGAAATAAACATTTCCTTACGTTATTACCTCGTTACGTAAGTTCTGTTCTAACCCTCTAACAACTTTATATTTAATTAATCCATCTTTATTGATTTTATTCTTATACATAATCACATATAAGGCAGCCTCTGCTTGAATATCTGGGCTACCTGTCCCTGCCATCTGGATGTTTCAACAACTTATCTGTTTTCTTGTTTGTTTTAACATATCATTATGCCTATTAGTCTCACAACCTATTCAGGTGCGTTTGTGAAAAGTTTACAACATTTCACTGTACGAGTTACAAGAGTCTAATCAGAGACATCGTGATTGCTAGCAATATGGATTGAAAGGAATATGTCTCAGAAGTTACTCGTGATTTAATCTTCGCTAGGATATAACGGATGTAGATTCCTGGACTACTAACACCTAACTGGCGATCACTCAATATTTATCGCAAGGATCGATCAAGAAATAAGAATAGAAAACTTGTTGAAATACGTTGTGCTGAGAATTCTATATTGTACCAAAAATATAATATTGGATAAAACTAATAGTAATAATATTATAATAACAATAATAATAATAATAATAATAATAATAATAATAATAATAATAGTAATGTGTACAAAACCAACTAATCATGATTAAAGTACATGGTTTCCAAATACCGTAGTTTGTCCAGGTGTATATCAGCAATAACACTCATACAAACATTGTTTCAAAGACAATTTTATTTATTTTAACACATAAGTATAGGTACAAGGAGGCACCAAATACATATGCGCCACACATATCTCATTTGATATGTGTGAGGGCTGTGATACTGCCCGGGTGCCCAAACCGAATCAGGTGGTTTTTTTAGGGGGCCACACCCCGAGCCTTTGACCTGAACGTCTGATCCACAAGGCAGTGGAGCATCGTAAGGAGATGCAGTCCCATGGTAGCCGGTGACCAACGATTGGTTCATACGCCATTTGTTCCCGAAGGATACTGGAGCCCATGTGCACCATTGGTTTGGGATCCGGTTAAAGCGCCGGACATTCGCTTTTCGTCCTCTCATTTTCGTAAACAACACTCCCGCCACGTGGAGGCAGTGAGTAGGACTTCCCTGGCAGGGGCTATGTACGCGTGGCCATATGAGGGCATTTCGAGAGGGAGAGCGGACTCTCCCCACTCTCGGCCATACCAGGGCATTTGGGGGCGTTATACTTTGTAGGTTGTTCAAAACCCGAGAAGGATTGACTCGCGAGGAGCAGGCTGGGTTTCGTTCCGGTCGAGGATGTATTGATCATATCTTCACCCTCCGCCAAGTGTTAGAACACCGTCATACTTATCAAAGGCCAACAATCGTAGTGTTTCTTGATATCACGGCTGCCTTCGATTCGTTGGACAGAACTGTTCTCTGGGATTGTCTATTGAAGAAGAGTGTGCCTGAGAAGTTTATTAACATCCTAAAGGCCCTATATACAAACACCTCAGGCAGAGTGAGGGCATACAACCACCTTTCTCCATTATTCCATTCGAGCAGTGGGGTTAGGCAGGGTTGCCCAATCTCACCATTCCTCTTCAACTTTGCCATCGACGACATTCTGGAAACAGATTTGACGGATGTAAGTAATGGTGGTGTGGATCTGTTGCCTGGAGAAAGACTTCTCGACCTTGAATATGCGGATGATATTGTCTTACTGTGCGAGAATGCCCAAGCTATGCAATCCGCACTTAATCAGTTGGCAATCAATGTCCGTAGGTATGGTATGTGCTTTGCACCTTCGAAGTGCAAAGTACTCCTACAAGACTGGCAGCATTCTAATCCTGTACTCACTCTGGATGGTGGGCAGGTAGAAGTAGTCGAGAAGTTCGTGTATCTAGGTAGCTGCGTAAGCGCTGGTGGTGGCGTGAGTGATGAGATCAATGCACGTATAGTGAAAGCCAGAGCGGCTTATGCCCATCTGGGCCACCTTTGGCGCCTTCGTGATGTTAGTCTGGCTTTAAAAGATCAGATCTACAACGCGTCGGTGAGAGCAGTTTTGCTCTATGCTTGTGAAACCTGGCCTCTCCGAGTTGAGGATGTTAGACGACTATCTGTGTTTGATCATCGTTGCCTCCGAAGGATTGCTGGCATCCAGTGGCAACACTATGCCAGTAATGCAGAGGTCCGGCATCGTGTGTTCGGTCACAGAGACGATAATGAAATTGGTGTCACCATCTTGAAACACCGACTTCGGTGGCTTGGACATGTTCTACGAATGTCGTCCCAGAAAATTCCACGTCGTGCATTATTTGCCGACTATGGGACTGGTTGGAAAAAGCGGAGAGGCGGTCAGTGTATGACATGGTGTCATGGTATGAAAGAAAGCTGCAAAGGGCTGGTTTGTATTGGTCCTTCACGACTCCCTGGCAGGGGTTCGAGAGATGGTGTAACGCAGTGGCTAGAGACGTTATCAGATATGGCTCAGAATAGAAGCCAGTGGCGATCCTGCTGTAACTTTCTCTTACTTTCTTCGTAAAGAGTGGTTTCTTCTTCCTTAACTGTAAGATTTCTTCTGATTGTACCTTTCCGTTTCCCCCATTAATAATGTGTAAAAAACTGGTACGTTAGTCAGACAAGAAAATGAAACTAATACTGACAAGTTATTATTGAAGACAGTTCACAATGTGAATCAGAGATTACAATTTGTTAAATTAGATGTTTGTTTTCACTTCATAAATTATTCAGCGAAGTAAACTGAAAACCAACCAATTAAACAATTCAGCAAAAATGGAGAACACTGGTTTACGAAAGTTGATTTACGCAATCAGCCGAGCAACCTTGAAGGAATACTGTAGGGACCCACTAAGTCACTTCACTGTCAACAAGTTCTTAACATTTTTACATAAATAAATGACAGCTATTGAGATATAGAAGATTGGTCCAACTCCTGAACCAATCTTTCCTGTATTTGCATCTCAGTGAATGTATACCGTCTATTTAGGGAAAAATTCACACAAAGAAATTTTCAAAAACAGTTAAGGTATATTTTCAGCCTTAGTAATTGAAACAATTTTATATTACCTGAAAGGTCACCAGTGGCGGCTGAAATCCCGATAAAATAACCAGTAGGTAAATGTACTCCGTCAACTGTGAAACAATCTACAGGATCTGTAGCACCTTGATATTTCAAAGAAACCTGAAGATTGAGAAATCCCATAAGCAGTAAACAAACTTGTCACATACCAAACATTAGAAAAAAACATAGTTCAAAATGTACAACAATCTCAATTTTTTGGCACAAAAAAAAATCATACATCAGTCACATTATCACCACTAACAATCTGCATGTGTCATAACTGATTAATTATATATTTTATTAAAACGACTGAGTTAAGGAATTACTTTATTTCTTATCTAATATTTTTTCACAAATTTTCTCTAAGTAGAGACGTCAGTTGCATGGACATGCGTCCCAATAAGTTATAGATCATGTTTGTTTAGAAAGAGGAAGTTATTGTGAATAGTTAGAGTCAAAAATAACCCATAGAGGATAAACGGTAAGTTCATGAGACGCAAATCCAAGGTCTTTTTAGTTTATGGCAAAACCTATGACCAGTAAGTGATAAAAATGATACTAAACTGTGTTTTATCAGCGAATATAATATGGAAGAGTTGTGTTACTTACGCTAGAAATCTACAGCAACTGATCTAGTAAGTCCTACGGACGGAAGTAAAATTAAGACAACAGGACATCTAAAGTGCATGATAAGAAGTGCTCTATAATAAAAGATTGGAAATAAAATGGAAAAGTAACTATTTCTTGATTGAAGCTTTCTAAAGAACTGGTCACTATTGAGTTTAATTGATACAAGTATAGATCATGGGCTACGTTTGCAACAACGTATTTAGTTATCAGGACACATTTTGAGAGCATGTTATTCGAGTCTACAATAAGTGACAAAACATAAGAATAAGCCAATCCTACTGTACTTGTTCAGAAAAACATTCATTTGAAATGCTAACCTTCAACTGGTTATTAGCGTAACGAATTGTGGCCATTGAGTAGTCATTATTACGAAAATTAGATGAACAACCAGATAGTTCAGTTAAAGTTCCATCTTTATCATGGTCATATTGTTTAGATCCATCGTTAATCATTGCACTGACATAAGGATGCTCATGACTATGCTCACCATTTTGATTAGCATAAGTATCAAAGAAAACGGCTAACCCACGGAACTTATCTTGACTGCCGAATGATGGCCCTATGAATAAACAGGTTTAATTAGCGAAAGAACTTTAAAGTAACATACCATTTGAAGGAGGATGCTGAGTGTACCAGAAAGCGAATCCATCACCGACCAGAGTTTTGGGACTATGAACATGGAACAAAATAACCACCTCCCAATCACGAGCAAATAAAGGTTTTATATTGGAAATACCTCCTTGACTACTTTTTACATCGGAAGTTAAGCGTACAAACTGAGGTTGAATAATCGTTGATCCATAAGGTACCCAGAGAGCTATCAAAAATTATATAACGTTTAAGTGATATGTGAATAGCAATAATGAATGAATGTAAGTGAATCACACCATTACAAGCCTTACTGCTTCAAATTCAAAACCGAAGAAAGGAAAACCTGATTTCTATTGAGATAATATGAAAACTACCTAAACCCTCAAGGATAGAAACAGATGAAATCCGGCAAAACCATCAATTTATTCTGATTAAGGGATACTAGAACACTTAGACAACCACGGATGTATTCAATTATGGTATTACAGTAATATCGTTCAGAACAGGATACTGCCTCAGCTAAACCACAAGACTTTATGGAAGGTTAATAAAATAACTCATTTACTTCACTAACGTCATTTGAAATTATAGCCATAGTAATAAATTGGCAACAAATCTCACTATTTTTAATATTTAGAAAGTTTAGGGAAACCTAATTTTGATAAATCGTTTACATCTGGTTGATATGAAAATACGGATTCTATGTAAACATTTGGTTTATTCTGATGAGATAAACTCAGTAATCTTGAGAACTAGCCTTGTTGTTGTCTATGTGGTTTACCGAAATTCCATTTTCACTGTTAGGACAGTGTGTAACGGCAGAGGTGGCCTATATACCTGTATTTAGTTCAATTTTTTCAGTTTTCTTACAAAGAACAGAGGGTGAACCAAGTTAATCGGCACGACTATGATTTATAGACTAATAAACCCTAAACACTGAGTAGTGTCAAAATATAATTACAAATTCATGAGAAATAAGGAGTTGGAAATTAGGATTAATAGGTAGGGTTAAGATTTCTACCACGAGCTGACGCAAACAATAATCTCAAAATGCTATTTAAACGAATGGGTAAACAAATTTCAAACACAAAACCCAGCAGATGCACTTATATTATAGTCCTGCCGGCTAGCCTATATTAGTTGGGATTCCCGGTGTTCGACTTACATATCTGTTGTAATAACAACATCGATTGTTCTGTTTCGAAAGTACATATTTTCTAATGATCAGCTCTACAATATGCTGGAGGAAAATTTTGCAGTATTGGACAGTTGGTGTTGAAAACTTTTTGATGTACGAAGACAAAATGCTAAATAATAGATTTGCTTTATTTCAACTCATATAATCGTACGATGTTAACAGCTAATGACTGAGTCTATTTGCAATACCACATAAACACCTGTCCTTTGTGTTTATGTACATAAACAAATTGTTTTTTATCCTCTGTTTGGGGTTTTGTAATCGTATTTTTAATTCCTGGTCATTTTGTCAGTTTGTTTTTTAAAACTAACAAGGAGCGGAACGTATTAATTAGCTTAATTCCAGTGATCAGTTCTTAGTGCCTTTTTTTCACGGCCTCCATTTATGACCTATAGCTGTTGCATTATATTGTTGTGAGCGTTTACGACTGAAACACATAACCACGGTGGCCAGCAAGCAGGCCTGAATTTTTAGTGGCTTGACCTAACTATCGCAATGATCAGCGTGTTTCAAAAATTTAGTAACCACAAACTGCAATATTTTATATATAAAACCACTTCAACATGCATGTTGACCATGGTTACGGAGTAAGATTATATTTCAGGCAATGAAAAGATAATAAGTTGAGCAACGTTAGAACTGTATCGGAACGAAAAAAACAAGCACAAGAAGTCAATCGGTTTATACAATCTTATGACAATACTGGATATTGAAATTCTTAAGAACCCACATTGGGACAAGACAAAACCTTGAATAAATAAAGGACTTACAACTTGAATATGGAGGAACGAGTGAGTTATCTCTGATGTGGTAAGATGAGTGTACTACTTTGGAATACGATAGACAAAGAAGAAGCACTAGCATCGCACGGACGTGCCGGAAAACTACAATTTTGCGCTATGTGACATACCTGATTTCAACAAATGAATCCTACTTTTTATTACATACAAATAAAAGGCTATGACCCTTTTTTATAGAACAACTCGGAAGGTTCAATGTAATCTAGTATGGTTGATATTTTGTCCACCATTTTCTTTACAATTGGTCAATCTACAAAGAAGTGTACTTGCAAGTATGTCTTAGGGATCAAATAGTTAGTGAAAGCTTTTGACTCCGTGAGTATGCCCCTTCTCCTTGAGTTTGAAACCCAAAATTGTGTTTTTCGAGCCACTTAAATCTGCCTGGAATCAAGGGAAAGGATTTTCCATATTTACATCAGTTTCACAGAATCCTGTGCTTCACTCTGATCTGTGGTAGGTTAACCCAAAGAAATTTAGGCTTCCTTTACTGCCAACGTTGCCGCAAACCTTACAAACAAAAGCTCCCCATTTCAGTAGGATCATGAGGACGTTTAAATGTTGGGGATCAGAAGTTTAAACTGAATGAGCTTGCTATTGGCAATCATTCATCAAATGGCTAAATGGTTCAAATGGTTCAAATAGTTGTGAACGGAATAGAAGAAGCTTTCTCTTAACAGGCTTTCGTGTCTAGTAGCAGGGGATCATCAATACCTACGGGCAAGAACCTAGGTATATTAACGATAAAAGAGAAAAAAAATGAATTGGTAAATCATAGTAAGATACTATCCTTAGTCCTTAAGAATAGATCAAGTCGCCTCTTTGAGGACTCCTGGGAAGTTGCTCGGACTAGCTCAGCTGGCAGCGAATTCCAGCATTTGACAACTCTTAAGGAGCAGAAGTTGTGCCTGCAGTCCGTTCTACTATGTTGTATCTCTAATTTCTGGGTGTTACCCCTTAGGTTAGTGTTGGGACTAAGCTTAAGTAGGTGTTTAAAAGGATATCCAGGAGTGTTAAGGATACTGTAATCCATTAGAATGTCACCTTTAGGACACCCGTACTCTAATGGCTAAAGGTCGAGTGATTGGAGGCGCTCATCGTAAGGTTTAAATTTGAGTCCCCGAACTGATTTCGTGGCTCGCCGTCGGATACGCTCCAGAGTGTCCTTATCCTTTTGGAGTGTAGGAGGGAATACTATGTTTCCGTACTCTAAGTGGGGACGAATGAAACTATTGAAGATTATGTGGAAAGTTCTCCCGTCAAACTAACCAAAAATGAGCTTCAATGTTACCATTGCAAGGTTTGCTCGAAAGGCATTTCTGTCACAGTTGGCGTAAGACTTTAAGTCGTAGGGCACCAGAACTCAAAAATCTTTTTCGACTCGGGATACTACTAGAGAGGAGTTTCCTAAGTTGTAACTGTAATCTGCGACGTGTCGGAAAAGAGCAATATGTCTGACGTTACCTGTTGAGGAAGATCATTTATTTAAATCAGGAAGAGAAGAGGTCCTAGTACTGAGCCCTGGGGGACCCCACTAGGACATTCCATAGCGTGTGAGAAATTGAAGTTTACCCTGACCTTAAAATGTCGATTTGTCAGATATGAACTGAGCCAGTCAATTAAAGGTAGTTTGATACCCAATTATTTGAGCTTGTTAATAAGGCATATATGATTAACCCTATCAAAAGCTTTAGAGAAATCAAGGTAAATGATGTCCACCTTCGCTTTGCGATCTAGGATGCTTGTCCATCTGTCCACCGCAGTCAGCAGGTTCGTCATACAGGAGTAACCCTACCTGAAACCATGCTGTTGGGGTGAGAAGAAATTTAAGGACAGCAGACAGTCGTGTATACCATCGTATACCAGAAACTCCATGATCTTCGAAGGTATAGAGAGAAGAGTCACCAGTCGATAACTTGAAGGTTCGCTGCGTCGACCTCCTTTGAAGATTGGTGTGATATGAGCCAGCTTCCAAATATCCGGTAGTTTGCCTCGACTTAGCGAGTGTGAGAACATCACGCTAAGCGGTGTTGCCAGGATTGAAGCTGCTTCCCTCAGTATAGCAGATTGGACCATATCTGGACCAAGAGAAGTGTCTGTTCTTAGGTATGTAGTTTTCGGAGCGCCACGTCAGCGCTCAGTTTCACTACGGAAAGTCCTGTGCAGTTGCAGATAGAGCCATCATCAGTATAGTTGATGTGGGACGGTTGAAATGTGCGGGAGTATTGCTCAGCCAGAAGGTTAGCGGCGTCACCGTCATTATCGGTCGGGCCGTTAGGACCTAGCAGTTGAGAAACTCCAGTTTTGGCTTGACGAAAAGAGGCTGCGTAACGGAATAAGCTTTTTTGATTGGAAATAAATTTATCCATAAGCTTTAACTGGTACTGAAGCCTGACTTCTCTTATAGCCTTCGTGCATATGTTCCGTATATGTTTGTATTGCCTGTACTCGCTGTTGTTGTTGGTTCGTTTGTATTCTGCCCAACAGTGCCTTTTACGGTTTAACAAACGAAGAGGGCGGTTTTTGATTATTGTAGGTTGTATGTGACTTTTGGGGACCGTTTGAGGGACTGACTGCTTTGTAGCACATAACAGCGTGTGTAATAGGAAGTTCCAGTGAGCATCCAAATCAAGTTGAGGGTGAACATCCCAATGCACCTGTTGTAGATAGTCCTGTAGAGCTGACGCATTCAACCGTTTGAAATTCCAGCTCCTGTCCTTGTTGGGATATCTTAGCTCAGTTTTGCTGACAAAACTGAGGGCTATAACGGCGTGATCGCTTTTCCCCAGGGTAGCCGGAATTGAAAGGTTGTCGACTAGAAATTCTTCATTTATAAAAACACAGTCTAAGCGCGGCGGTGTCTGACTGTTCCTCCAACGAGTAGCCAACTTCACATTTTCGTGTAGTACCAAATCCTCAATGAGGTTGAAGAACCGAGCTTCGATTGAATTTTCACCCCCAATATACGTGTGTTCCGCGAAGTTGACTCTAGGGAGATTGAAGTTTCCTAGAATCAGGAAACTGAGACGCATAGAGCGGGATAGTCCTTCTAGCATGCGAATGTAATAATCGATGTCGGCAGTGGGCTTCCTATATATGACTCTGACTAGGCACCTCGAATCAGTGGACAATCTCACAGAGCACCATATAGATTCCTCAAGATTGTCAAACTCATGGTTGTGAACTTGGTGTACCTCCAAGCCAGATCGTATGTATAGGGCTACTCCACCCCCAATTCCTGTTTTTCTGTCATTGTGAAACAAAAACATCCCAGGTATTGCTAGCTCCTGGTCCGAAAACTGAGAAAATATCCAAGTTTCAGATATTCCTATCAGATGAACCATATTAGCGTTGCTAAGTTCACGTAGTTCATTCATTTTATTTGGTAGACTAGCGGCGTTCATGTACAAGCAGTTAATGCTTTTAATTTGAAACGCGTGAGCTTCTTCCTTTTTGTCTGTGAGAGCCTTACGTGAGTGGACAGGTAACCCACCTATATAAAATTTTTCGAATTTATAGGCCCTGTCCTTTACATGTTTTTTTATCTTCAAGACAGTCCACAAGTGGAATGGTCAGCTCCAGCTTGCCTTTGTGCTTGATCCTGGCGTCATATGGCCTGTCCGGGTGCATGTGAATCCCAGTTGGCAACCGACGTCTGTTGACACGAAATGCTTCCAGAGCTGCAGCCGCCATATGGGAGGATGGGAAAGTTGTTCTCATTAGTCGGGGTCTAGAATCACCGTCCTTCTTGGCTAGTCTCATCACATGCTGAGTCAGTATGTTTTTGAGCCTCGAGGACTGTTTGATGAATTTCCATTTCCGAATTTCAGAGTTTGCTTGACTAGGGTCCATGTTTTCCGGTACATTTTGCACGATGAAATTTTTTCCACGGAAAAACTTCTCTCGAGAATCTTTAGGGACGTTCCGGATGAGATTGCGCTCAGACTACGGTATGTTGGGCAGTATTCTGTTGTTCCCTCTCAGATTTTAGTAGATGATTAGCTAGCAGGACATCCTCTACTTCAGTAGCATTCTTGAGTGTTACACGAAGTAGTCTCGGGTGATTTTGATGTTTAGATTCCTTTCCCCGAGTGAGCCGCGTGATCGTCAAAAGGCTGTATTCTAGGGAGTTCGAGTTTTTTGTTCAGTTCACCCCAGAGCATCCTGTCGTTTTTGTCCTGCAAACTGAGAGGAAGGTCAGGGTTGTCTATGCGGTTCATGATTATGAGAGACTCATCACGAACCGTTGTTGTTTTCCCAGGTTTTCCGGTGCGTTCAGATTCAGTACGTTGGTGTTTGGAGTTTGAAGCAGGTTTCTGAGTCGTAGGCTTTTTGATAACCGGGCGGACGTTTTTGGGGTAGACTGAGCGATTATATCACCAGTTGATGTCCGTACAACACTTGGGATGTTTGCCTTAGACGGTGACACCTGGTTCTTTTTAGCTCTGTTGGCGTGGTGCAGTCACCTGCAGAGTTTTTGGGAACCACTGTTGCGTTTAAAGACCCTGTACTGGGAAATTCAAGTTTAGTGAGGGAGTCAATTACCATCGACGTAATGATGGTGCTGAGTTTCAACAAGTCATCATTAGTGCTAATGCGTGTTCCATCGATGGTAGACTTATCGATATCCCTATTCTTATTCTCGTTGCGCGCCCTTGTTTGTCTACCTATTTTATGGCTATCTGTTTCCAAGTTTACTGACAATTTATTACTCAGACCTGTCAATAGAACAATGATGTTGATCAGCAGTACTACAGCATCCGTGCTGCATATAACACACACCCACTTACGATCCGATTTGCTGAGTCTATTGTCAGCAATTGCCGTGAAATCTGTGCACGTTTCGTGGAACCAACCTTTGCAGTTGTCGTACTGCATGCCAGGTGTAACAGCAAAACGGCAAACAGGTCGTTTGCATGAATTTTGCATGGCTGTATTGACGTAAACTGTGTTAGAGATAGTATCAAAATCTTAAAACCGTTAAAAAGACACTAAAAAGCACACTAAAAACGGGAAAAATGTATAAAAACGGATGAGATAAAATGAACTAGCCTTTACGTGAAAGACTGAAAAGAAAACCGAATAGTAAGCTGAGGCAAAACCACAGTTAACTATTAAATTGGGCGAAACTCAAAAAAAGTAATCTA